TAATTCTTCAGAAAAACAAACGTTATAATACCAAAAGTGTTCTTACACAAATACTACATTTTTATTATCAAAACTTAGAGATATCTTGCATAACTAAATCTTGTTCTAACATTGTAGGCATGAGATGCAATGTCTTGGCAAGCATACTTAGTAATAAACCCTTATGTTCATATCCTTACCAATAAAACCCAAACATAAGACATTTCAAAACAATAGCAAACGATAACATAAATACTAGCAAAAGGTTCCTATAGAGTACCATAGATACTTAGGATGATGACACCTTCCCTAGGTATAACCAACCCCTAAACCTTAGATCTCTTAGTATTGTTGTTACACTTCACATTTAGGATTTTCTTCGATCTTTATCCTTTTCCTTTAGATAAATTAAAAATCGGTGGTAAATTTCAAAGATTTGTGTTTCAAGTTAATACAATAGTTTGATATCCGATTCTCACCACAATAGAAAATGACGACTTTGCTGGGGACATCCCCAAAAGAGGGTTAGCCTAACTTGCTTATATTTGTTATATTATTTGTTTGCTTGTTGCTTTGTTATCTCATGGGTGGTTACCTTGTGTGGTAAGATAAGTCTCAACCTTGGACTTGAGCATAAAAGTAAGATAAGAAGGTGGTATATTCAAGGAGGATTATAGGGATTTGATTCTTGACCAAGCTAACTTGAGAAATCACCACTCAGTGGAGGCACTTTTAAGAATAAGTATTATTGATCAACAGATTGTGAAAATGATATTATTTTTTGATTGAGCCTACGAAGTTGAGAATCTTTAGTCACCTTTAACCCCACTTGGCTTTGTTAGAAACGCAGTTCAATGACAATGAGGGTGTAAACCCGAAGTAGTTGACAAGCGATGCTACACTCAGACGAGACTCTCTTAAGAATATTGTTGATTTCCAAGTAATTGGTGTGTCGATAATATCCGAAAGATGGGTCGATGACTTTGGGAACCTCTTAGAACCTTGTTCTACAGATACAAGAACCCTTAATACACACCTTTTGGGATGGGTAGACCATGGCTTCTTACTCGTGATCTTCAAACCTAGGCCCTTGTTTTTTTGCCTGTATATATGTGTGAATATATGAATACTTGTATATGTGTGTTTACGCATACATTCATACATTCATGAGTAACCCTTTGGTTTCAAGGAGTTAAGTTGTTCATTCCTTTGCAAAAATCAATAGAGATCATGGATTATGAAATGAAACTTTTCACTTATTTTTTCAAAATGTTTGCAACTTGCTTTTGAGTTTCATGAAACCATTTGGCTTGCATTTGCATTGCATGCGCATGTCACCACATTTACATCTCGCTTGCATTTCTCAGCCGTGAGTCTTATCTTCTTCTTCCTATATCTCTATAAAGATACCTAGCATGCATTCGTGATAAATGATGATGATGAATGAGCTTTTGAAAGGTCATGAAGCCCTGAAGGAGGAGATCAAAGTTCTCAAAGGTCAGATGAACTGGGTCTTGGAGACTTTGCAGAACTTGATGAAGAAAGAGGGGCACTCTTACCCTGTTGCATCTAGAGAAGTTATCACTTCACCATCTCCCGTGGTTCTTCCATATCAAGAACACTCTCGTGCAGAGACTTCGTGTCAACCAACATTTGGTTTTGCACCAAAATGTCATCCTCATAAAGTGACTACCAGAAGAACATCTTAGCATCCAGTGGTTGTTTTCTCTCATGGTTCTTAAATCCAAAACATGAACAAGAAGAAGAATCCTATCAAAAGGAATAAGGCTCTCTACAAATCAATTCATGTGCCACTAAGCAACCTCTATCTGATGTTGATTCATAGCTCGTTGGTGACTTCACAACCTCTCAACCTAGTGCTAGGACCATGGCACAATGCAAACTTGACTTGTGAGTTTCACAAAGGGGCTGAAGGAACCTATAAGGCCTCTCAAGGTTCTGTAACATAAGGAGCAAGTAACCAGTGATGGGGGTGTTCCCTTGTCTAGACCTGAAAATTAAAATCTGCTAAAGTCAATTCTCCAAAGCTGGCTGTCTTTTGATTATTTCAGTATTTCCAATTGTAATTTCCTTGCTTTTTGATTTCATGTCTACTTGTAAGCGTTGCTTTTTTTAATTGACAAGATAATGAAATGTTTATGCATCTTTTGAATCAATCCATTTGTATCCACTCATTTCCTTTTATTGTCATAAAATGAAAAAAAATATATGTCTTTTTCCATCCACTTATCTCTACCAAACTGTTGTTTAAACAAAGATTGGGGATGATGACGAAAACATTATACCCATAACTGTTGTTAGTATGCTTTCAATTAAACTTTGCTGATCATGTAAGACATTGTTTCAATCTCCAAACACAGGAGAAATAAGAAAAATAATCCCTTGTTAACTATTTCGAGCTTAGAAGTAGGAGTTTTTTTTCTTTATAAAAAATCTGAAATCTCAACCTTGGAATGGGTAGTTCTCAGTTAACATGACATTATGTGCATACAAAATACATTTCATATAAAGGTTATGCTCACAGGTTTCTTTGCACACAGTAAACAAGTGTCGAAGATGTTTTTCAAAATAATTATCTATTGTAAATGACTTATTAATTTAGGGAGAATGGATAATTGCATCACTCTTATTATAGAGACCTACATTAGTTCAATAAATTTAGGAAATCTACATTGTTAAACACCAAACAGTGGATCATCTAGTATGGAAAAACACAAACTCAAAAATCTTAACTTCACAGTATGCACAATCTTTACCTCAATAATAAGTCAACAAATATCCTAGGCCACATTTATTTTGTTGTAATCAACACAGACGGCTCGATGAGGGGCATATTGTCGGTGTCTTGAGCTATTTCTCAAGATCACTTGGCCAATTATCTAGGAAGTTTCTCGTGCAATTTGTGAACAGAGCCTGATGACAGCTCGTCATTGCATGTTTTTTTAGTATCATTTGCTTTCGTTTTAAGGCTTTTACATTTAGTTCATTCGTGGAAAAGTACTGAGCACCATCACCAATGTATGTGCCTATATTCAATGGGTAGTTGTTCTCGTCACTAGGCGCCAGGGCACCAGGTTTTGATTCAGCATATCTGTCAAAAATTGATGCACTTGTAGTAGCTGCATGACTTCCTGCACTGCAGGCCAAGGTGTTGCAGACATTCTCTACGGCAACTTTGCATTAACCAGCAAGTTGGGAAGGACTTGGTGATAAACATTATGATCCTTTATTTCCATTTGGATTCAGGCTGACTACAAACCTTACCAAGTATTAGATCATGTTTATCTTTCTAATGCAATAATGAGATTCAACACTAGAATAGAAAAGTGTTGTTAACTGGTATCTTGACAATTTCAGTAGTATAAACATGTAATTTTCTTTGGTTTTTGAACCTTTTCATAAAAATGATTCTTGCCATTCAAGGAACTTGTTACTGAAAAATTGGTACTGTCTTGTCATTTTTGTTTGGAAAGCAAGAGAAACAAACGTTATAAAGTTATTCATGACCATCTTACACATTGTGATCATAGTGATCCCTTAATCATGACTGAAAATAAAATCCTAAACAATTTGAGCTCTTTCATATCTAAATGTAACAACTTGCAACATTATAATGCAAAAGAGTATTATGAATAAAACCACGCAATAATTAATACCAACAAAAACAGGACACGACCACACAGCTTTATACCTATTGAACATGAACAAGAAGATTTAGCATTCAACTTGAGCTCATTTATTGCCATTGACACTGTCTTGGAAAGCAAGAGAAACAAACGTTATAAAGTTATTCACGACCATCTTACACATTGTGATCTTAGTGATCCCTTAATCCTAAACAGTTTGAGCTCACTTATTGCTAAATGTCACAACTTGCAACATAAAAATGCAAAAGAGTATTATGAATAAAATCACACAATAATTAATACCAACAAAAACAGGACACAACAACTGAATACAACTAAACAGGACACGAGCACACAGCTTTATACCTATTGAACATGAACAAGAAGATTTATTCAACTCCTCCATCTTTTCTGTCAAAGGAATAATTGGTTGTTGTTGGTTATCTTCATTTTGATTACAATCATCAAAACCTTTAGCCAAGAATTGTAACTGGTTAATATCATCAGAATCAGATAGTTGAGCGTTGGCTTGTATTTCAAAAATTTCAACTCCATTATGTTTCAAGTCATATACAGGGATTACTCCACAACCCTTGATCTCCTTTGTTGACAACACTTTCTCGGGATTTAGGTCAAAATATGTGAATTCAAATGAAAGGTTGTAATGATCACCTTCACTTTCCCTCCCCACATTCACCCAGTCGGAGTTATAACACCCTATGCAGCCTAACAATACATGATCTAAAATTAAATCATCTGTATAAAACATTTCCCTGTATCGGTAGATTACTCTGGTGTGTTGATAAATAGTACACAAAACTTGACTGATAATTCTCTTCACTTCATCAGAGAATATGATGCAAATGACAAAACCACACAAACCATGTTTTGGAATAGGAGGAATAACTATGGAAGCCTTTGTTGTATGAAAATAAAACTCACTAGGAACTTGAGCACCTGGAAAGTAAAAGAAGTCCATATGATAAGTTCTTATATTCCTGTCGAATGGAGCTAGTGTCCAAATGGATGAAATTCTGTGGTGTAACATGCTCTGAGGTGAACGGAGTCTTTGTATATTCTCATGTATTAATTGTTGAATGGAGATAGTGTCCAAATGAATGCAATTCTGTGCTCTCAAGCTTCTCAAGCTAAATGGAAGTTTTGGTAGGGACTTAAGTTTCATACATTCATATAAATCAAGAGTTTCCAACATTGAATTGTTTTGGATGTTGTCAGGGAGTGTTTCTAAGTCGCGGCACCCACTCAAATGTAATTCTTTTAAAGACGGTGTGCCATCAAGAATGAGCCAAAGACTCGATGTAGTGATTTGTGTACATCCTGTAAGGTGCAGTCCTGTAAGATTCTTATTACACATCAATGAAGAAAATCCATGTACAACAGCGCCCCATAAACACCGCTCATTATTTCCTTTGATGTCACCGAAAATTCGGCAAGAGAAGAATCAGAGAGATCCAGTGTTTGGAGAGATTTTAGATGAACGTTATTTTTCAGACTTCCAATCTTTTCGCATCCATTTAATTTTAGGTTTGTAAGCTTGGGAGTACTGAAAATGGATGGATGGAGTTGGCAAAGACTCTTACAATAAGAAAGGGATACTATTTGAAGATTTGGGGCCCTTGATAAATCTGGAATCTCAATCAGGTCTTCGGAATAATCAAGATCAAGAATCATTAAATTGTCAAGTCTCTGTATGAGAAGAAAAAAATAAGCATCACATTATTGAGAAATCATTAAAATAAGTTCATGATCACACATAAGTCTTAACTAAGAGGGATCAAAACTTAATTAAGAATATATTTAATAGAGCTAATAATAACACATTAATTAAATTGTACCTGAATTCCATCCCAAAGCTTTTTAAGCTTGCTATGCTGCATTTTAAGCTTTACAAGAAATTTTGCATAAAAGGTTGATGGCAGCGACTCTAGTGGGAATTTATGCCACTCAAGACACCTCAATTTATCAGACAACCACTCAAGACCTTCAAGGAAATGCAATCTACTTTGATGATCTATATTGATATAAAGATGTCTTAAGTTGATCATGCTTTTAAAGGAATCTGAGTTCAAGTACAAATCCCCAAGTTCATAAATATTAAATTCTATAGCTTCAACAACTTCAGTTCCCTAAAAAACAAATTTAGAGTAATGATTAGTTAAGACTAACATACATATTTATCTTACTTGAATTTCATCCATTTTCATATACAAGTAAATGAATCTCACAGTTACCTTGTTATATTTCAATACATCGTACACATCCTTTTGATCCCACAATCGACTTCTTCTTCCGGGGTCTTTGACTGATTCTTTCATAACAATCTCTTTTCCCATTTCTATTAACAAATCATGCATTGTGATAAAGCGTTCCATTTCAAAATATATGAGTGCTTTATCTTTAAGGACTTGTAATCCACTCTCGGCAAAATACTCACAAGCATTCCATACTGCTGTTTTGTAATCTTTATCATCGATATAAGCATATCTACATGAATATTTGGAGAAGCATGCAATGTCTAGAAATATGGCTTGTTGAGTAGAATCTAAGTCATCAAAACTCAATTTTAACACATCATGGATTCTCTTATTGGGAATTTTTTTTAGTTTCTCCAACTCACTTTCCCATGCTTCTTTACTTTTTTTTGTACGAAAGTTTGCACCTAAAACTTTCAACGCCAGGGGATTGCCTCTACAAAAAAGAATTGCCCTTTCTGATAGATTATCATATCCATCCTTAGGACACTTTTCTCCAAAAGCATTCCAACAGAATAATTGAAGAGATTCATCTGCATTCATCTCCTCAAACTCATATATTTCACACTCGTCAAATTGACTACATATCTGCATATCTCTAGTTGTGATAATGACTCTACTCCCTTCTCCCAAGTATTTATGGACTATGTTAACATTTTCTGCTTGTTCTAAAGTTGCCACATCATCCAACACAATGAGACTTCTTTCATGTGCAAGTCTGTTTTTGAAAATTGGAGTTTCTGCATAAGGTGCATTGAGAGGAAACTCCAACAATGTAGAAAAAAGTTTGTTACGTACAGACTTGAGTCCATACTTGGTTGATTCTTCCCTTATATTTTCAATGAAGCAAGTACGTTCAAATTGAGAACAGAGTCTACCATATACATGTTTGGCTAGAGTGGTCTTTCCTATGCCTCCCATTCCCCATAATACAAGGATCCTAACATCATTTGACCCAATTTTCAGTAAAGATTCCATCTTTTCATACTTTGTATCAATGCCAACAAGTTCCCTGTTAACTTCAAATGGGTATCTCCCATACAATTTTTTCAAAACATCTTCTACAATGTCCTTAACGAAATTTGATTCGATCCTACCATTATGAATGGGAGTGCAAAAAGGTCAACATTTACCCTCAACATGATTGACCAAAAAACAATGGAAAAATAGATTTAGAATAAATTAGGTAATTTAATTTACCCGTAATTTTGAGAGTTCCATCCAGATAAATTGGCTGCTTCGGTGAGTGCATCTTTCCATTTCTGCAACTTGTCTTTGTTGTGTCTCAAATCTCGCTCATGTTTTTCAAAAGATTGTCGATAAGTCCCAGTTTGATTCCTGACATCAGATGGTTCTATATCATAGAAAACAGGTATGACAATCTGTCTGCGATCTCTCTTGCATTCTAGAATCTTAACGAGTTCATTCAAACACCATTTTGAAGATGCATAGTCTTTTGAAAATATGACTACAGATGCGTCTGACTCCTCAATGGCTTTGTTGAGTGCTGATGAGATCTCATCTCCTTTTTCAAGTTCAATATTGTCAATGAATGTTAGAACTTTTTTGTTGAGAGCTTCATAAAGATGACTCGTGAAGGTTTTACGAGTATCCTCACCACGAAAGCTAATAAAAACATCAAATCTTTTCAAGGATGCTACCTTAGAAGATGAAGAAGAAGAAGAACCTATGTATTGTTGCATAGCCATTACAAATCTCCAATAGTATGCTTGGTGTAATACTATAGAAGTGTTTATATATACCAAGCGGTAAGTTGTAGGAAGCTTCGTTGGGCTTCATGATTATTTATTTCAACACAGTACGCTGTCCCAAAGAAAAAGTAATGAATTGTTTGTCTTCTCTTTCTCCAATAATTGCTAAACATAAAATAGTTGGACTCAGTCTCTTATCTTCTCTTTCTCCAATATATAGTCATTTCCTAATAGTGTGATGTAAATTGAATGCGTTTTACTAAATTTACTAGAGTCAACCACTCCTTGATGGCACCAATATCTAATTTGTACTATGTCACAACTGGATTACAATATGCGTTGTGATTATTTTTTAGTTTCATTTAGCAAATGGTTTGTCTATAAACTTGGTTTATGGTTGAAGTAAGAGTTAGGTTTGGTCACGTAAGTTCAAATAAAATGGTAAAAAATTAAAGTTGCTCGTATATTTGATATCCAAAGAATGTTTTCTTTTTATAACAATCATATTCTTTGGTTAATTTATAAAAATTTACATAACCTTTTAGTCATGTGACTCATTCTTGAAACAGTATTAGAGTGGATCTTTGTTATCGTATTCGCAGGAATTGTGTGATATTACCGTCGTTTTACAATTGGAATCATTTTGAACATAGAATATAAAGAGTGGTTGGTTTGATTTCGTAACGCAGCGATTGCATAAAAATTATAATCAACAGCAAAAAATTTTGGTTTTAAATGATTGGTAAAAATATGTCAAGATTAAGGCTCGATAATTCATTTCATACACATTTTCTTAACAAAACATGTGAACTCATTAACAACAAATATAATCACATATCCTTTCAATATGTTTCATCTCTAAAATAAATTGTTATTTTTATCATATTGATCCTTAGATGATCTTTCAACCTAACTATCTCTAGACTTTGTTTATTGAAAGATCAAAAAAAAAAACTAGGTACGTTAATAGTTGAAACAAAGCTTTTGGAGTATCAAACCTGAAAGGATCAAAGATTGAAACTTAAAAGCTTTGATTTCTAAGTAGAAATGAAGAAGATGACTTTTTTCTCTTCAACAAAGTTTTTAGGTTACAAAAGATTTTTAAAAATTAGTTATGTCCCAAAAAATATCACAAAGTGTTAAAATACACATGTTCTGCTCAGGCAACTTCGCCAAGCGAGCCACAGAATTCGCTGGGCGAAATCCTTTAGTACAACCATGTGACAACAACAGTGCAAACAAGCTAAAAAAAATATCTAAATTCGCCAAGCGAAATAAATCTTCGTCGGGCGAATCCCTTTCGCTTCTCCTTCGCCAAGAGAATCAGCCAGTGAACCACTTCTAATAGCTACTAGAATTTCAAACTTCTTTCTCCTGGCCTCTCGCCAGGCCTTCGTCGGGCGAAACCTCCCTTTCACCTCTCCTTCGCCAGGCGAAGGTCTTGATTTCTTCGACACGCGACTTTCTTCGTTTCTTTGCTTTTTCTTCCGATTTTTCCCGCACCTTTTTTACGAAATATGTTGTAAAACTAACAGATATATTAAAAATACCAAATATATAAATTGATGCAAGAATCACTTAATAAATAAATTGATTCGCAATTAGAAGTATGGAAAAGATCTTAAAAGTGCTGTAAATTGATACGAGAACCATTCTAAACTTAACACCTATCAAACTCTCCCCAACTTGCATCTTTGTTTGCCCTCAAGCAAAGGTAAGTTTCAAAATCCACAAGAAAGCTTTCAAAAACACAAAATCAACCGGAAAACATTCATGGTTCAAACTCGACAATCGCACGCACAAGACATTTTTAATTACTTGCATAGAATCAAAACATGATTATGAATTACGTTCTAAAGACAACATTAGACAATGCAAAATCAAGTACCTACAAGTTCAAGTTAAATCACATAATTCACTCATTATCAAACACATGAACATCATGTACACAAATTTACAAGGAACAAAACACTCTCACAAGTAATCGTGCCACATCCAGAATAATTCATGCATTCATATCACAATGTTATCACAAAATCATGGAAACAAAGACCACTAAGGGATTTTATGGTTGTTACTTGACTTGGGTTAACAACAAAGGGTAATATATACACGACCATTGAACAAAAACGGGTAAAATTTATGAAGAGCATTTCAAATAATTTTCTTTTCAAAAATTCATTCTTACTCAATCCTTTGATTTATTTTCTTACAATGCATCATTTCTTTCCTTTTGTGGATTCTTTCTCACTTTTTGTTTTCTTTTCAAAGAATGCATTGTACCACCTATTTGTTTTCCTCTTTTTTTTTTCAATGTAATAACTCTCCCTAACTTTCAATATTTCATTCTCTTTAGACAAAAATGCTCTTCACACCAGGTTAAAAGTTTGTTGGGATCTAAATTGATTCATTTTCAAACAAATTCATTGTAAGGCTCAAGAGGAGTTACGAATTCACACACACTAACAGGATGAATTGAAGCCTTTTTGGAATGGTGGTTATTCTCATAGTACACAAAAATTGCCTTGATCATTTTTAAGTTTTCAACATTTAAAAACAAACTTTCAAGATTAAACATGAACTAAACGAGTAAAACAACAATTACTTGAACTATACTTTTGGTGAACCATGAAAAGCACCTTACTTTGGTGAACTTTACGTATGAAATTCAACTAATTCGTTTAGTTTTATTCACACAATTAAACACTTAAAACAATTGAAACAAAATACTTACAACGCTGGGGTGCCTCCCAACAAGTGTTTTGTTTAATGTCGTTTGAGCTCAGCGGTCCATGGTGACTTTACGGATCACCAAGAGAAATGACGCAAACGTCGCGATCAAATTCACCTCCAAGATAGATTTTCAGCCTTTGTTCATTCACGTTCCAACTTTCTTTGGTCTTTGGATCCTCTAACACAATTTCCCCATAGTGCTTCACTTCTTTGATCAATAATGGTCCCAACCATTTAGATTTCAACTTTCCCGAAAAAAGCTTTAACCGAGAATTCAAAAGAAGCAACGTTTGGCCAGCTTGAAATTCTTTTTGATGAACCTTCTTGTCATTATAGACTTTGAAATTTTCTTTGTAGAGCTTGCTTGATTGATAAGCATTGTGCCTCATTTCCTCCAATTCATCAATTTGGGCTTTTCTTTTCTCACCGGCCAAGTTAGGATCAAAATTCAACAATTTTAACGCTCAAAGAGCTTTGTGCTCCATTTCAACCGGTAAATGACAAGTTTTACCGTAAACCAATTGAAATGGAGTTAAACCAATATGAGCTTTGTAAATGGTACGATACACCCACAAAGCTTCATCAAGATTTTGAGACCAACCCTTTCTCGAACTTGACACGGTCTTTTCCAAAATTCTTTTCATCATTCAATTGGGGAGGCAACATCTTCAAATGGGGAGGCAACATCTTCAATTCAAGTTGGGATTTTTCATCATTCACATCTTTTTTCAACACTTCCGCTTCATTTTCCCAAGGTTGCAATTCTTCCAAATTTTCAAGTTCATTCAAGCATTTTTCATGTTCTTTCTCTTCTTCTTCTGTAAGAACTTCAAATGCATCACCAAGAGCTTTTTCTAAGGGTGTTGACATGTGGATTTTCCTTGTTAATTCCATCATAGCTTCATTTGTCGTATCAATTTGAAAGCTATCATGTGTATCTTTGGAGTGCTTCATTGCTTCAAAAAGATTAAAAGAAACTTCCTCATCTTGAACTCTCACTTTCATGAGACCATCATCGATATCAATCATCATTTTAGCCTCTTCATAAAAGGTCACCCAAGAATCAATGGAGCATCATGGTCTTCTTCCATGTCAATAACAACAAAATCAATTAGAAAAAAAAATATATATCCACCTTGACTAACACATCTTGAGCTACTCCATGAGGATGCGTTATAGACTTATCGGCCAGTTGTAATGTCATTTTTGTTGCTTTCATCTCAATTCTTCCCAACCTCTTAACAATAGATAACATAATAAAATTGATGCTTGAGCCTAAGTCAATCAAGCCTTTACCCACATAAAAATCACCTATGGTAACCGACAAAGTAACTCGACCCGGATCACTTTCTTTGATCGGTAGAGTTTTTTGAATGATTGCACTACAACTCACATCAAGCATGATTGCTTATTGGTCCGTGAATATCCTCTTCTTGGTAAGGATATATTTCATAAACTTTTCATATTTGGGCATTTGCTCAAGAGCCTCGGAAAATGGAATATTAATTTGCAATTGACGAAATATATCCATGAACCGAGCATAATGCATAGCATTGTCTTTCTTAGTTGGAGCATGAGGATAAAGCAAGTTTTGAATTGGAATTGGGCTCACTTTCTCTTTTCCTCTCTTGATTTTTTTTCTTTTTCTCCTCTACGTCTTTTTTCTCGTAATTCTCATTTTCAACTAATTTCTCCTTTTCATTTTTAACTTCTACCTCATCATTTTTTCCAACTTCTACCTCATCATTTTTTTTCTTCCACAATCTCATCACTTCTCACATCATCATTTTTCTTGTCATTTTCTTCTCCTCCACCCACCTCTCTTCCGCTCCTAGTCATAATGGCTTTGCAATGTTCCTTGGGATTGGTTTGAGTGTTTGCGGAAAAAGATAGCATCGGTTGTTGATCGACTAATTCTTTCGCAAGTTTCCCAACTTGGTTTTCAAGATTCTTTATGGATGTCTCATTACTCTTTTGGTTGGCCATTGATATTTGAATGAATTGATTAGGAGTTTTTTCTAACTTTGAAATTCCACCTTGAGGTTTTGTAGGTTGATAAATATTTTAACGGTAACCTTGTTGATAACCAGGATTGTTCCCTCTTTGTTGCTAACCTTGGTTGTTTTGATAAGGTTGTTGAATGTTGTTTAGATAAGGTTGTTGTCTTCCTTAATAGCCTTGATTACCCATGAAATTTTCTTCTTCGTTAACCGGAGGACAATAACCAGTGGGGTGGTGTCCTTTGCATAGTTCACAAATGGCTA